TCTTGATGTATTTCAATGCTGGACGTGTATCATTTTTCAGTTTGACTAAATGACAACGGAACGGTTTCCCGAAATTACTGGCTGAGATGATTTGTGTGAGATCAATAAATTCTGGAAAATAAAAGCTGAAGATCTAGAGTTAAAACTGATTTATGAATGCACCTAGCCGCATCTTTAATGATGATCACTTTCAAAACACACTAAATTCGGCCATTATGAACAACAAAGCCTAGTCGTATACCAACCATTATACGCAAGAAGTAAAAGATGTCACTTGCCATCTTCAGTGTTGTAGAGCAGCACTACGTCTTCCCAACCTTCTCTTCTGATGAATGCAACAACAGCATCACAACGTTCAGCAAATGGTACAACCAGCGATACAGCATGTCCGGGCCCTGCTAGAGGGCGTTCATCAAAACGGACAGATGGAATGCTAGCACTCTGAGCAGAGAAATTAGCATTATATGTCTATGAACATACGGCAGTCGTCTACCTTAGCTACACTTTCAACAAAAGCAGCAGCAGCATACGCAAAACTAGATCCTTCGGATATGGGTAGAATTGAGGCCACGGCTCCTTGGGCAATTACGTCGCAAACTAAAACTTTTCAAATGAACGAGTTTAGGGATTACTGTTGTCTCTTGCCATTACATTCGGGAGACACTCTGTACACTGGGCGTGTTTTATAAACGAGCCATTGAAATCCATTAGGCCATATCCTTTTTACTGTGGGAGCAAGTTCGATAGGAACAGCTGTAAACAAAAATTTTTCTAAAATCATAGTCATCTTTTTAAACAATAACTTTTTTTTAATTTTCAAGAATACAACTCTTGTACTTAACAAATTTACAAAGTTATGTGCTTGTAAACCACAACTAAACAATCAAATTTGCAAAATGAACCTATTTTATGAGCAGCAGTAACGGAAAGAGCAGCAAAGATGGCGAACAGCATGGTCTATTAACTAATTTCGCACCCTTCCCACTTATCCATTTAGCCGACACATTGCCTATTGGTTTAGCTTCTAAAGCAAATTTAACGTTCGCTAAACGACATTTTCACCAGCATTTCTCGCAAGTAAAAAACCTTAAAATGAAGCTGGTGACAAGCACAGGCTAATCCAAGATTTTCGTTGTTCACGCCCTTCTAAATAGCTCATGGAGGATTTTTGCGATTTAATGATTGTTATGGTAATTGAACTTATTCAATCTCCCAATTTAAAAATCGATGAAGCGCCTCTATCATACTAGCCTGTAAATATTCGAATATTGTCCAAGTTGTTGAAATCAGATGGTAAAGCAAAACGCAGTTCTCCATGATTCATGAAGTTTCTAACGGATACACATAGCGATTTCAGAGAATCATTGCCCTCGAACCGCTGAAAACGCATATCAACTACTTAAATTTTGAATTGAGAACTATGAGTATTCTCAAAGTCTTTGAAATTTGACCAAAAGCTGCAAAATTCACAGCCAGGATTGGCGAAGATGATCGCAAAATTTATGTATAATTACTTTTTGTAATTACTTTCTTAGTCAAATTTTAAAAAAGGCACCGGTTAGCTACTCTACACCATTTAGCTTTGCTAGCAGAAGAGTTTCTTTTCCTCTTAAATTGATTTGTCGGATAAGTTCGTTCTGTTTTTTTCCAAGTCAAGAGTGTTCTAAGAAATCGGATGTGTTGTAGGAAAACTGCATTTTTACAAACTCTGCATTTGGTTATTTCAATGATTTCGGTTTAATTGAAGAAGAACCAATTGATAATGCATTTTTAAAAAGCCATAAAAGCTCAATAATCTTTTTAGAATGTGAGGGACATTCACAAGCAATGCTTATGAAAATCATAGCCTTTCGACAGAAAACACCTTACTCTGAGATTACGGTAGTATATGCTTCAGCGCCAAATGCTGCGGGTTCAATTTGTGTAAAGGCAGTCTACTATGGTTGTTTTGCACAATCATTCAAAACAAATCTCTTCCCCATTCTTAAAGCTATTTGCTCGGTAGACACACAATTATCTGATTTTCCTTTACACAATTCAATCATTAACTTTCTATTGTTCCTACCCTAACTGTGGGAGCTTACGAGGAGGGTAAGATTTTATGATGAGCGTGTCGACAAACTCTGTAAAGTTTACTTTTTAGACAGATGCTGATTTCGATCACTGTGATATATAGACCACAATTCTAAAGTAAGGTACCATCGTCGCAAATGGATATGATTCCCATAGTCAGCAGTAATTCCCTTATGAGGTAGCATTATGTAACTTTCAACCCTTTTGCTTTCCAAAGAATTTAAACTGTTGGCTAGCTCTCATTAGCCCTCCAAACCTCTAATTACCACTTCTAATTGAGAATATCCAAAATTCAAAAAGTCAGCCACATTACGTTGTGGAGAGGGATCCTTCTTCCAATTTATATGTTTCAAACCTCAAAAAACCGAAATCAGCATTTTACGTATATTTCCATAGGACTCAATTCTAACAGCTTAGACTGCGGAACTTCTCAATACCAAAAACATGTCGTAAAAAATGGAACAATAATGACGTGATTCCCCAGAGCTGTGACGATGGCCAAAAATAGGAGCAGTTCCTTTGAATTTGATTATGCCAAACGCCAAACAGGGTTGTATTGTACCTGAGATACGAGTCTAGCTAAGTCTGTTTTTTTTTTTCGTTTTCAAATCGTTAATTCTTTCATCTGCAACATTTGCTCAGCGCACATCTAATAAGGTTTCCACAGTTTAAATGCGCATGCGCGCCGACCGTCATTTTTTACCACTAAAGCAGAATTTTTTTTCACAGCAGAGAGTGTTTGAGGAGAACTGTCTGGAGAAGAAAAAATCTTTAGTCTTTTGACTTCATCTGTGTTACGGATCAAAACGTAGGACACACATCCTACCACTTTGGAGCCAATGTTTCAATTAAAATTCCGCCCTAATTTGAATGTAAACTAGAAAAAGTGAGAACATCATGCTTTCGATTACGTTCGTCAATGCTCATTTCTCAATATTTTATGGTAGTTCAACTAGACGCTCTT